GACTGAGTTTTCTTATTCTGCAACTTCCTGCAATCCCACTTCATATGTCCTGGCTTATGACAGTAATGACACACTATCTCTCCTAACTCCTGTCCACGAGTATTAGTATTCYTGTCATAGTTACTTGACCTACCACTACCACTCCTGTATTGTTGTCTCCCTGATTCAGATGTATTATTGCGGCTGACAAGGGCACTACTAGGCTGAACAGGTGGAGAACATTTTGTACGAAGGACCCTACTGAAAGCATCTTGTAGAGAAGAGATCTCTGAACTGGAAAGTCTGAGATTTAGCAGTCTCAAATTCAGAAGGTAGGCCAACTAAAAAGCTCATAACAGCCATCTTTTTTTGTTGAGCTTGTTGAACAGTCACATTAGTACTAAACGGAAGCAACATATTAAGTTCTTCATATRTTTTCTTGAAATCCATGAAATAGCTTGTAAGAGATCTATCGCCTTTGTCTGCCCTGTAAAAGGCTTTGCACACATCATAAATGCGGGAAATATTCCCCCTTCCGGAGTACAAGAATTCTAGATAGTTCATTAATTCYTTAACAAATCCACAGTGAGTGACTAAACCAACCACCTCACTTTCAATGGAGTTGCGTGCCTGCAAGAACAAACGGGCATCCTCCCTCAACCAAGACTTTCTTGAGTCATCATTAGGAGGGTCATCAGTCAAATGGTTATCCATAGCAATACTCAACAAATATAGTTGAACAGTTTTACTCCAATCCAGATAATTAGAGCCATTAAGTTTATGCTCTGTTATTTTTGACATCACTAGAACAACATCCGACATAACTACTGATTTCTTGTCTACCATAATCTCAAAATTCAAATAAACAGAATATTTTGAACACCGAAAATCAACAGAGCACACCTGTTGAAAACACCGGAATGGATATGCACGTAACAAAGCACAAATATGTGCTATACAAGACGAGGCGAGCCAAAAGACAACGATCGAAAAAATTTTCTGGCGACAGATGCGCCTCCTCGTGCCGGCTCGTGTGACTGTGGCAGAATCTTCAGGCGGTGTGTGAGACACACGCGCAGGGCTGCTGACTGCTGGACTTTTCCTCTACCTACTGTTCCAAGGAGGTGACCCGAAACACCCAGAAATTTTCCTCTACCTACTGTTTACTTAAAAGAAAAAAAAACAAAAGGGCAGGCAGAGACTAGATGCTCTGATACCTTGTAAAATAAGAGTAAACAGAGGAAGAAGAAGAATTTGTTGTATTATTCATCAATCTTGTATGTATATATACAAGTTTCAAATTCTATGTTAGGAAAGAATATATTAGGAAAGAAGACTAATCAAATTCCTACAATCAAGGTAAATCATATCTCCCTAGTATTTACTTCCTATTTTARTTATACAGTYTGTAACATCTTCCTATTTTAATTATACAGTTTGTAACATCTTCCTATTTTAATTATACAGTTTGTAACATCTTCCTATTTTAATTATACAGTCTGTAACAACTGTCAATCTGCTTGTGGCTCTTTTGCTTTCAGCCCTCTTTATGATGCTTGTATTTGCTTCTGGTTCTTCCTCTCTTTGCTGGAGCAGGAAGGAATCTTGTAGTTTTAAACTGATGATCCATTAATGAAGTGCCCTGACTATTTACTTAGAAAATTTCTTCTTATTTAAATAAAATCCATCCGGGCTTAGTTGATTATTTTAGTTGTACCATTTAAACCATGATTTGCTTCCCTCACCTCCACAAAATGGTATTATTTTTATTATTTATTTATTTTTTTTAGGGGGGGAGGGGCTTAGTAAACTACCCCTAAACCAAGAATATGCACACATCTGATCTGGATACTCTATCTAATGTAGGTACATGCAATGCTTTCTCTTACAAAATTACATGTTTATCATAGATCAGGAGAAGAGAGAAAAAAGATTGCATATGCTTTAGAGAAGCTGACCCCTGTATAGTTGACCCCTATATAGGTATATGCAATGCTTTCTCTTACAAGAATACATGTCTATCATATATCAGGAGAAGAGAGAAAAAATATTGCTTATACTTTAGAGAAGCTGACCCCTATATAGTTGGGACAAAGCTTGGGATGATGCATTTTCATAAAAAACTTATTTAATTGGTTAGATCTACTAGTTCATAATGTGTTTCCTCTTTTTTCATTTGCAAATTTAGGCATTAGCAGAAACGAAGAAACACTTCAGCCATCTATATATCTGAACAAGTAAGAGACTTTTCCTTGTTTATTGGTCCATTGATTGCCTATGGCTATTTGTAATGGTCTTTTATCACTGTTTTTTCCCACTGAAATGACATGCTTTTTCTTGCTTCCACACATTATGGAATAAATCTTGTAGGTTGCCTGACAAAATTCCTGAAGGATCTCGTGTTCTTGTTGTAGATCCAATGCTGGCAACAGGTATATATATTTTCTGAATGATATTTATCTAGCTTACCTCCTTTTTTTGCTGTTTGTTATCCGAGTATAATGGCTTTTTTTGTATGAATTTTTGATGTGCAATTGCTGTTTATATAAATAAATCTGTGTTTAATCATATTTGCAGTAGGGAGTTAACTTGGTTTACATTTGTATTTTTGTGGGATATTTAATTTCTAAAGTGCACTGTAAAATTTGGGGAACCATTTGCGGTTATAACAATCCCATTTTTCCTTCTTTTTCCCTTCTATTCTGTATCCTCTGTGCTTATGGCATTGTGCATTTTTTCTTGATTAACAAGAGTTCAACCAGACAACCGGTTGAGAACCTTATCCCAGGCCTTTGTTAATCTAACTCCTTTTGCCTGTCTTAAATATATAAAATGCCTCTAAAGTGGTATATGTAGTTACATATAAGCACTTGAGTCCCATCCAATTTTGGACATTTACTATAAACTAGTTGATATCATGGCTATTGCTCTGGTTTATTGTTTTAAGCATTTTACATGTTGGAAGGGTGTTGTTCTTACAATGTCCTGACAAAGAGGTGATCATCTATTAGTAATACTAGGGTTAGGTTTTTAATCATTATTTCTTTTTTAATTATTAGTTGGTAGGGAGATTTGTCCTTGGCCTTAATAAACCTTGCAATCATATGGTTGGGTGCAACTGACTGTTTATGTTCGGTTACATTGTTCATCCTAATTTGATTGAGAAGAAAAATAGATATATCTTGTCTCATGACTCTGCCATCTGCTTCATACTGCTGATATGGTGCTACTGAATCATGTTTTTTGTAATTGAAGACAATTAACGAGCCTCTTTCCTTCCCAGCTAAAAAGCATATGATAATTGCACTTATTTTTTGTGTTTGGGGCGTCATTGTAATATGCAATGGAAGAATGGAGGCAGATGGAGTTGGCGTTCAATTCCCAATTTCCAATAATGTAAGCTAAAATATGGTCAAATTCAGCCATTTTATTTGTTGATGGTCACCTTCCTTTTTTATTGTATATAATAGAGTACTATTATAAAATTGTTGAGGATGGGCAAGATGTAACAGACATATCCCATGGACCCTCAAACATATCTTCAGGGAAGTGGAAAGATTAGCAAAGGATATAAATGCTGATTTCAGGTGGATCAGGAGTGCTGCAAATGGGTTAGCAGATACATTAGCCAAACAAGGGGCTGAAAGGCAGCAGCATCTATATTGGGCCTCTTTGTAACTTTGGTTGTAGTTCTTGGGGATGACATTTGGGTCATCAGACTGTACTTAATCCCACATATTTTTAATTAATGAATCAATCTTTATTGCTAATAAAAAAATGTTGAGCTTGTGCAAGCTTTCTAGCTTTATTTGCATTATCGATACATCTCTAATATTAATATTGTCATGCTTATATGGTCTGTTTTTTGATAAGGGCATTTCTGCTCTCTTGTTAATAGCCTGTTAACAGATCTGTATAGGCTGTTTATAGATTGGTGTACATGTTATAGACACTGTTTTCTTTTGAATAGTAATTTCAAAAAGGAAAAAGAAAAACATTGTCATTGCTTATATAGGCCCTTGCATTTAATTCTAACAACTGAAACTGTAGTCAAAAGAATATGACTAAATTGCTTTTTCCTATGTCTTGTGGAAATGAATTAAGGTGGCACAATAGTTGCAGCAATTGACTTGTTGAAGGAGCGAGGAGTGGACAACAAGCAAATAAAAGTGGTAAATAATTTTTCTTGGCTATTTTATCTTTTTAAGTATACACATGGCCAAAATGCAAGTTCTTGTTTATTTCTGCAAGATTAAGTATTATAGGTCCTAAATCCTTGTTTGCAAACTGAAGCAGCTATGCCACAATACCAGTCATTGACACATTTGAAGAGGACACTGAGGACCTTTTTTTCCCTTTTTGGAAAACAATTTTGAAAGCTCAACACAAATTGGGGAAATTGTTCTAGCTTTTTTTTTTTCTTAGGCCCCACTTTTGTGCCTGGCAGGCAAAGATTTCTATTAGTTGATCAGATGGACATCCAAACAGGCACTTTATAGTTCACCTTCTCTTTTAAACCTAGAAAAATTAGTCTATTGCTTCATAATCTAGGGATAAATCATGCATCATTGGAAGCACTCGTGGTGTGCTGAAATTCAAACCTTTTCAGGTTCAGCACGAGGTTTATATTATCATTGCTGGTATGCTATCTAATGTAACCGGCAATAGCAATGTTGTAAGACTTGGATGGGACATAAGAACCGGAAAGCTTGCTGGGTCACGGGTTGATCATGAGTCATATAAATAACATAGATAATAAATTTTGTGATTCATATCACGTGTAAGGTGGCCAGATGGTTAAGTTAGCTGCTTTTTGATACAACAGCCCAGGGTTCAAGTCTTATTCAAATCTTCCTATTGGCATTTTGAAGTTTGTAATGATTTAGTGACCCAGGCAGCTGATCAGTTTTCAACAACTCTTGATCTATTTGACCGGTTTTCTAGAAATATGGGAAAAACTGGAATGGCCTATGGTTCCTAGGCTTCTTACATGGGTCAATAGAAATCACATTATGCTACAAATTATAGTCCTCAATAAAATTGCAACTGCATTGTCAAGCTACCTTAAGATTTAAATACTACATTTTTCTGAAACCTTTGTTCTCAAATAAATTATACTGAATGTATTGTATTTAAATATTTAATAACAAAAATAAAGTTTATAATCTGGTCAATATATAAATAAAATGAAGGTTATAACCAACTGCTAAAGTGGCTGTTATTATGGTGACAAACTCCAATTCAATAGTTGGGTCCACTCACCATTTTCATGATTGAAAATTTTAAGTCGGTCTTCATAAACAAAAGCACATAAAGAGAAAGAACAAATTAAGTGAAAATTCTTTCTGCAGTCTTGCTGTTAGCCTGTTAATCTAATTTGGTTGTCTATATCTTTACTTTGTTCTATTTTCCTAGATCTATATGCTCGATTAAATCTTGTATGTTGCAGATATCTGCTGTAGCTGCTCCCCCAGCTCTTCAGAAGCTAAGTGAGAAATTCCCCGGGTAGAGTGATGTCTATTTGGATATTATATAAAATTAGCAACTTCCTGTTGTACAGATTATAAAATGGTTGGTTTTGGATTTTTCAGGCTTCATGTGTATACTGGCATAATTGACCCCACTGTGAATGATAAGGGGTAGGTCCTGCTGCTTTGCTTACCAGAATCAGATTGGGTGCATGAGCACAATGCACTACCTCTACGTGTTTAGTCTGTCTTTCATTTTGTACTGATGGATTGTGCATTTTCAGGTTCATAATCCCTGGATTAGGGGATGCAGGAGATCGTAGCTTTGGTACATGAATGCAAGTATTCTCTGCTCTGGTGATTTGTCCTACTTTTCAGTTATCACAGTTTTGACATTTTGAATGACTCATGGTGTGATGACCTTGTATTTTTTTTTTTAATTAGATGCTTAATTTGCTATTTATGTTACTAGTAGAGCTTCATTAGCCTACACGCTTTATAGATTTACCCAGAAAGCATGTTCACTGTGATATTGTACAAATACTGGGTTCACAAGTAACAAGAGAAAATGCCACACAAGCATCCGGGCTTCTTTTTCTAATTACAATTAGAAGCCCGTCTGCATGGTTCTGCAATTAGTGATGTTTGATCCAATCTTCTAATTGCCTGATTCTATGTTTGTTTGGTTAAAATTCTGCTCCCAAAAATCACTATTTGAAGATCTAACTCCAGAAAATCAATTCCTAAGAGTGATTTTTTGGTCCCAAAGAATTAGAATGAGCGAGTGGCTTTACAGCTTCTTCCAGATTGGCTATTACTTAATATCTCCCTTCTAGATGTTCCTGGCGTTTCAGGTAGTATGAGCTCCCTTCCCGACGGTTTGTAAATCTTCTCATAAGTTCTAAACTCGATTGAAGTTGAAGTGCCTAAAAAGAGAACCACCGCCACCGCCACAGCCTCCAGTATCGGTGCCACCACCACCATCACCACCTATACCGGTGCAAGCAACATCAGCAGTAGCAGCTAAAGTTGCACCAGCGCCCACCATGAAGACCATGCCACCGTCTTTGACGCTACCACTCCCAGTACCCCCACTACGTTCGTTTCGAGGGTAAGAATGCTGCCCAAGTTTGCTCTCTCTTCTTTGCTCTGCTACGGATACAAAAGAACAAAATCAACGATCCAGCTACCAAGACAATGCAACCATAGGCTATTAACCCGATAAAAGCCACCCAACTCGCCATTACTTCAATCTCACTCGCGTGCTACTACACAGATTAAAACCAAATTTCTCACCGCTAGTTGGTATCTTCTTCTTTAGAGCTATACTGATAACATCATCTCTAATGTCAATACTGTGAAACATCAAGGAGATTTTTTTATTCAGTTTTTTATTGACTTTTTTAAATTCCTTGGATGGTTCTTAAAATTTTTTAGAAATTTTCGAGAGAGCAACGAGGAACAAGGGATGACAGTGTGCTTTCCACGGAAACTAGTTGTTCGGTCCGTCTTCACTTTGAAATCAGTTAAATCTTTGGTTGGTGTATAATAGTAATGAGACTCGGCGACAAGCCAACAACGACTTAAGCAGCTGTGACAATACCGGTTTCGAGGAGTTTGGATCTCCATTTGATCCAATCTGTGACTGGGTCAATGAACCTCTGTTCTACGATTCCGGCGTCCCGTGGAGGCGTGGACACGCTATTGGGTCTAAAATTTTGAACACACTTGGAATATAAGACTTCGGTTTATTTAAATATCTACGAAAAAGTTGCAGAACTCAACGCAAATGGCCAGGCGGGCCCCATAGGATGGAATGCAAAGGTTTATTTATTTATTTATTTTGTTTTAGATTTGACTTTGGTGGAGTTTGTGTTTATTTGAAAAATAAATGCTTAAAAATAACTGTTTATTTTTAATGAACACTCGTCAGAATTTGATGAAAATTACTTATTTCAAATAGGGGTAGTATAGGTATTTTGTAGTGGGTCAAGCAGGTCAAAAAGGAAATAAGTGCTTAACAATAAGTGTAAAATTTGGGCTTCTTGAATAAACACTTATTCTTGAAACTAAAAGAATAAGTGATTATTCAGGCTTATTTCCCAAATGCAAATAAATGTTTATTGATGTGATCCTAACTCAAAATAAGTCTTTATTTGAATAAGTATTTATTTTTAAGCACTCTCAAACTTGACCTTTATTTTATTTATTTGTGAGAAATACAATAGGAAGTAAAATGATGTAATCCCTACCGTAGGAGGAAGCTTATTTGTTTGGGAGTGAGGTAGGAACTAGGAATCACAATAATGTGATCTCTACTTTCTATGAGAAACAATTGAGGTAAGAGTCAAGGAGCAAGGTGGTTTAAAATTTTCATAGTTTTAGCCATGCAAATTTTATACTACCAATTAATGCAAACGAAACAAAAGAGTACAAAATTTAAATAAGATAGGAGTGTAGATCATGATGCAAAATTGAAACAGTCGCTAAATTTATATATGGTTTAGATTTCACTACAAACAAAAAGAGCTTATGGAGGTTGAAGTTGAACATAGAAAGGAAAACTAACATAATGGCTTCAGCTTCACTAGGGGTGGCCAGCTCGGCTCGGCTCAGTCTAAATCGAGCTTTGATCATAAGTCAAGACTAATATATAGGCTCATGCTAATCGAGCTGAGCTCGAGATTAATAAAGCTTGACTCGTGAGTCTCGCGAGCCTAATTGAGTATATATGTACACAGGGTATCACCTTGGCTACTGAGGGAGACATCGGTTCGGTACCTCGTCAACTGAGAGAGACCTCAGCTCGGTACCTCATCAACCGAGGGAGACTTCGGCTCGGCACCTCAACTGCTTGGGACACCTTAGTTCAACACTTCAACAACTGAGGGGAACCTATAATCAAAGGTAGCCGAGCTTGAGCCAAGTAGAGCCCGAACTTTCAAGCTTTTGACTCGAGCCAATTCTCTAATTCAAATCGAGCTCGAACTAAAACCTAATAGTTTATAAGCAAGCTAAGTTCGAATAGCCAAATATTTGGCTCAATACCTGTAAGGATCATAGAGGTGACTATAAGTGAGGCTTAGGCCATATCTAAGCATAGCTCGTAAGAAAAGCCAAAAGTTGTTGAAACCTGATTGTATATGGAATTTGACCTGTCCTAAGGAGAGGAAAGATTAGTTGAATTTGATAGTGGTTTTACGGGCTGTTGGACCAATCATTTTGCTCAACACAAAGGGGCATAGCTAGGGGATCCGAGAGGAGTCTTGCTCCCCTAAGACTACAACGTTCCCTACAATACCCACTTATATTGTTAATACTAGCTAGGACTCGTGCGATGCACGGGATTTATTAACTGAAAGCTAAATAATAGAAACATATAAAAGTATACAATTGTTTTATATTTTTAACTTTTTAAATAATTAATAATTATTTATATTTTGGGTTCAACTATGATATGAGAAAGATATGATATCTGAAAAGTTTTTGACCAATCAATTGATATCATAAAACATGGTAGCCAATCAGATGTTATTTATCAAAATTCATGGGTGGATTTTGATTAGTCAAAACTCTTTCGGTACCATATCTTTCCCACATCATAGATTAATAATTTTTTTACAATAATAATAATAATAATAATAATAATAATAATAATAATAATAATAATAATAATAATAATAACAATTAATTTCAGCTAGGGTTGTTCATCAAATTGATGAAATTGACCAATTAAACCAACTTGACTCAAGTTGGTTTGTTTTCTAGTATTTTTTATCTACTTTGGTTCAACAATTTCCCAACTTGACCAGGTTGGATCAGTTTCTCTTTGGCCATTTGAAAATTGACCAAAATTGAACGCCCCAACCATAGAAATATACATTACTATTTTATATTTTTAATATAATTTTTTAATACGAGAAAGTGGAAAAATTCCTATATTTCTTAGTTTAAAATATTTTAAATAAAAAATTTAATTTTTTAACAATGCCATTGTATTTTTTAAATTTAAGTTTAAATCTTTTGAATCAACCAACCGAACCGAAATTTGACCCAAATTGATACAACCCGAGTTGGCCGGATTTGATTGACCAAACAACCCACAACTGAACCGAGCCAACCCGTGAACACTCCTAATTTCAACTGAATTAGTAGTCTAATCTCTAATAAATAACAATAGATTAATATCCAATAATTATTGAAAATTTACAACGAAAATACACAATTATTGAGAATATATTAAAAATGAAAAAATAACACTAATTACAAAAATGCAATAAATACTAAAAAATATATTAAATTAGTCAATAAATAGTGTAATCTTAAATAATAGTTTAATCTCTAATAAATATTATTTAATAAATTATAACAAAAATACAATAAGTACAACAAATTAAAATTAAAAAGTTAAATAACAATAGTTTAATGTCCAATAATTGTTGAAAATTTTCTGTTAAATAACAAAACAAAAAATATATTTATACATAATTATTCAAATTATATTTATCACAAAACAACAAATAATTACTTAAAATAAAATAAAAATTAATATTAGCATATATAAATATATAATAAATATAGATTAAGATTTTAAAATTATTATTAAGAAATATTATTTTTTTGAAAGTTATTTTCTAAAATTATTAATTGATATAAGTGAAATTAGTTATTTATAATATTATTTAGTTATTTAAACAATATCATTATTTAAATATTTAAATATTAATTTGATTATTATGTTATATTTCTTTTTCTAGTTTTAAGAATTTTTTAAATTTATTACATAATTTCATTATTTTAACTATTTAAAATCTAGTCATGTTAAATGTTTCATTAGTTAAAATATTTAGTTATTTAAGTATTTAAATAATATATAATATTTAACAAATTTTGTTATTTGAATTTTATTTATTTTAAAGTTATTACATAATATGAAATATCTTATTATATAATTATTTATCTATTTTTAATATTTTGTTATTTAAGATATTAAGTTGTTGAAGTATTTGAATAATATTTTATTTTTTAATGTTAAATTTTTATTGTTTGAATAACATTTAAATTGAACAAAATTCATCACAAAACTAACGTAATTTTGTGATGAATTTTGTTAAAATATAAAATTATTAATGATATAAATATTATTGAATATATTATAATTATTTGTTAGTAATATTTTAAAGTTATTGTAGTTTTGCTAGAATATTTAAATCTTTTTTAATTCAAAATTTCTTTAGATAGCTATAGATAAAAAGTGGGGGAGAGGATAAATAGGAATTAGAGATAAGTTAGTTAAAGTGGGGGAGGTAGTTTAGGAGAAATTTTAGGAAATGGTATTATTTAGGTTATTGGGAACGTGTGTGTGTGTGTGTGAGAGAGAGAGAGAGAAATTTTAGGTAATTTTTTTACGGGGAAGGAGGGAATCTTGTTGGTTGTTTAAAAATGACATGGAATAAAAAATAGAAAATTCAAAAAAAAAGGAGAAAGTTTTTAGGCTTTTGTGTTTTAGTATATGTATATACTAGTGAGAACTTGTGTGATGCACTTGATTTGTTAATCAAAAGCTAAACAATAGAAACACATAAAATTACACAATTGTTTTATATTTTATCTTTTTAAAAAATTAATAATTATTTATATTTTTGGTTCGGCTATGATATGGGAAAGATATGATATCTGAAAAATCTTTGACCAACTAACTAGTGTTTATCATAAATGTGGTAGCCAACCACATGTTATTTATCAAAATTCATAGGTGGATTTTGATTGGTCAAAACTTTTTTGATACTATATCTTTCCTGCATCATAGATTTTCCCATATATTTTATATACTACTTTTAATAATTTTTTTACAACACAAAAATAACAATAATTAATTTTAGCTAGGATTGTTCATCAAACTAATGAAACTTACCAACCAGCCACTGTAATTTTTTAAATTAAATTAAAATTTTAAATTTAATATTTTAAGTTTAAATCTTTTGAATCAATCGACCATACTGAAAATTGACCCAAACTAATAGAATCCGAGTTGGACGGTTTTCACTAATGGTCAATCTGTTTCGGGTGACCAACTCCCCAACTTAACCAGGTCGATTTGATTGGCCAAACAACCTACAACTAAATCGAACCAACCGGTAAAGACTTAATTT